CAATGAGTTTCTCCTTCTAGGAATTTTCATTCGAAGATGAATCAAAAATCGGCGGGAACTTTTCGGACAACCCAATATGTCCACGACCGCTCGCCCGTAGGCTTAAAACTCCGAAGGTACTTTATCAGGTGATAAAGAATTTTCGTGCAAACAGACAGACGCGAGCACTTTATGTATATAGCAGGGATATCTTTAAAAAATAATTGTTATCGGGTGCACAACAGGATTTGATTAATTTTCTAAAAGATCGTCATACTCAAATTCTTCAAAATTGCCAAAGTTCTTGAGGCTTGCTAATTCAAAGACTGTTTACCCCACAAATGTGGTTTTGCATGGGTCACAGAACAGCCGAAGCAGAACAGTATATTTACAAAGCTCCAGGCCGAGGTTGCATAAAGTGTGCGCACAAACTGTTGGTCAGGATTATGTCAAGAGACCTTCGTGATTGAAGAAAAACGTAATAGACGTTAAAGTCGACCAACTGGGATCAGTGGATGATGACTAATGGTGAATACCTTGCTCTAGCGTCTCCCACGACAAGGCTCTGCCGCGAGAACGTTACAAGTCGTCTACTCTCAGCTGCAAGAGATTGACGAAATTTGCCGCTACGAGACGCCAGGGACAAAGAGGTGATCAAGGACGGTGCCTCGCCACACAAAGCTAGGTCTAATATGAAAAAGTTCTACAGCTGGGTCAGAAAGCCTTTCTTCATTGTCATACTTTTCTAAAAACACTCTTTCTGCAGGCTTCGTATTTTGGGCCCTGAACCAGCGCCTTTCTGGAAGGATGCTCGACATCGAACGAGCGCTCGTAAGCTGCATGGATCCCTTCCTGTTTTCGAAACCACCCCCGTTTTACGCTATCAGCACCAACGAGTTGCCCATAGATTCGAAGGTTCTTATGAGGACGAATGCTCATCTCTACCAGATTGAGGTTGATCCTTATGAATGATTTTGTTTAAGACTCGCCCAAAAAACAAGCCAAAATCTTTTGCACATCCGACCCGATAAGGTTTTCATTGCAAATAGGACGATAGTTGCATTACTGTTTCCATCATGACGTAGTTAAGAATTCTGGCTTTTCTGAACAACGCACGTGGTAGAAAAAATGGAATATTGATGAAGTTGTTATGGCTGAAAACATTCAAAGCAAAGAAAACGAGAAGAATTTATTCCCATGTTTAAGTTCGAACGCCATCACGATGCTAGCATTCTATCTTATCGTTTCAGAAGAAAGATCAGAACGCCTCACCATGCCCGTCACCCGAATCTCATGGAGCTGCTCCAGCGAAAGAGATGTCGGGCGAAGCTTGTCCACAGAACATTCCCACTTCAGCCTTTANAGAAGGACTGCCCCCAGAAATTAAAACAGAAAATACTTTCCCGAAAAAGAGTCCACCACAGAAAGAAGATCTGGAAAATCAATTTGATGACTTAAAAACTGTATCTCCTGGGGGATCGCCCAAATCGTCCAAGGAAACAAATTCCAAGGAGAGAGTGAAGCCACATGAAGCAAGAGTATTTGCAAGCAGTGAGATGATGGTTTCCAGAGAGAGAAAGCGTCAGTTAGAAAGAAGAAAGTCTCAAACGCCTGAGATGAATGAAGGAGAAGACGATGTCAAAACAGCTGTCAAAGGTGGTAAAACAGGGAGTAAACACCGAAGAAAAAAAAGTAAGAAGAAGAAGTCAAAACGACGATCAAAGGGCAAGAAAAAATCGGTACGTGAAGGGAGAAAAGTAGAAATAAACGCAAGGAGTTGTGTTGTCAGTATGGGTGCACGTATTAGGTTGATGCATAATTATGGCGGATTTTTTGGCGGCTTCTTTTTTCTCGACAACATTGAACTTTTGAATTCGGGATTTTTGTAGAAATAGTTTCTCGCTTTCCTTAACAGAAATATGTCTAGAAAGTCATCTTCATATACGCCAAATTATGCTCTATTACTTTGA